TCACGGGTGGTGTTACAAAGCCAGGCCGGGCCGGGCGTTGGGTCAGACAGGCGCGAGGCTTCGGGCCGGGCCAGGCCGCACCGTGCAGGCCTCTAGGGGTTTGTGCAGGCCTGCTCTGCCCGCCTCGCCCTCCCTCAGCCCCTCGCCCCGCTCCCCCTCCCCAACTTTCAGGTAGGCAGATGGAGCGCAGCGCGCGGGGGTTGGAGGGAGAGGGTTGTTTTGGGGGTGGGGAAAGGGGGCTAGCGAGGGACGGACGACGCTTTTCCAGCGCAGAGTTGGTTGTTTCGTCATGCAAAACAGTCAACACGTTGAGATTATTCTGAATGAAATTTCCATTCTCATGTTGTTGCGATGGCGAAGCTTTGGCGGAGCGGTGATGGTGGAGAGGAGGAAAATATAATGCGATTGAGAAGAATGGGCAGAGGCGTGGGGCCGGTGGGAAAAAAAGAGAAGGGAGGGGGGGCGGAGGTGCACCGTGATAGAGGCAGAGTTATACAACCGGGCGCCGTCCAGCGCGCAACCAGGGTCTGATTGTGAGCGGCGAGAGAGCGAGGGCGAGTGACAATGGTCAGCGCCACAATATAGCCCAGAATCAGGATTTTTTTTGACATGGAGCTCGTCGTCCGAATCTAAGCTACAGCAGTGTGAACAGATTTCGTGGGAAAATCCACTGCAGCGTTTCACCGTAAGCGCATTGAGAAACCACGAAAATACCATGCTGCATCTTTGTGAAGTGTCGCGAATACCCCATAAACGTTTTGCGACGAAAAACAAGAACACACACAAGCGTGCTAAGAAAAGGCCGTCGCGAACAGCGAAATGTCGGAGCCGGCGAGGTCAAAGGTGAAACGAGGATGTTGCGGAGGATACATTGGGGTCTCAGCGGCGTTGGCCATCGCCCCGAGGTGACAAATGGTTGCCGGAGCGGCGGCGTCAGCCCGGCCAGTCCCGGTCGGTCCGTCGGCAGGGCCCGCACCTGCCGCCCCAGCGTCCAGCTGTATTAAGCCCTCCCCCCTCGCACCCCTTACCCTACCCCAACTACAATTACTTTTACACCTACTTTATGAGAGCCGTAATGTTTATCCTCCTCGGTGCCGGTCGGGCTCCACTACGAGCTGCTGCTGCTGCTGGTCTTGAGACTCACTTGTAGCCGTCGTCGACCTTTGCAAAGAAACGGCCGTGGCTTCTTTCTTTCGACGTGGGTAGAAAATAACACCCCTCTTTAACATTAGCAAAGTGCGGTGCGAAATCAGACTCTTCAGACCTAAAACAGAAAAGGGAGGCACAAAATTATATGACACGACTCGAGATTCCCGGCATTTGTGCATATTTTTGTCGAGGGTGTAAAACTCGCGTAACGGTCTGTACGTACACCTGATTTTGGCATTAGGCGGTTTTCCGCGAACTGGATTTCCGAACAAATCAAAATAGGCTTCAAAATGGTTACGTTACCGCACTCAAAATTGGTTGGCGCGTCTGTTAACGCCAAGATATTAGCACTCACAGACACCAATATTTGGCACTGTCTCAGGGAACACTAAAATTTGGCGTCAAAAGACGCCACTCAGTTTTCAGTGATATTCCAGCACAATACGTAGACACTCGTACAATAGTAACGAGCATTCTGTACACCACAATGAACTGTGCAGAAACCCTTTCACTCTGATCTTGGCTAACGGCGATACGACTGCTGCCGCTCTGTCAAGCCGCGCCATACCAAGCGGCGTTATAGACTTGGCGTAACCACTTCGTAAATCGGCGCATCGCAGCAGCCTCGTCGCGCCTCGCCAACGCCGCGTCCGCGAAGATGCGATGGGATGGGATGGCGCGACCAAGCATGCGCGCGCGTGCGTGCGTGTGTGTGTGCGTGTATGTGTGAGTGTGGAAGCGCGCGCGCCTGTGCGAGCGTGTGTGTGGGCGCACTTTGTTTCCGCGCGATTCTCGAATGGACAGGGCAATAAATCTCCATCAAAGCGGCTTTGCGTCGGAAACCTGTACGCGCACACACCTACGCGCGCGCACACACACAAACACAAACACACACGCACGCACGCACGGGCAAGCTCGCAAACGCTGACGAACACACGGCTGGGCACTGTTTCGTCGGTCCCAAGTCAGGTCATCGCTGTGAAGGCTGCAAACGCAACGCACGCCTCGCTCCCCTCTGTCGCCTTGGATGCAGACCGAAGTATATATTTACCCCCGGCTTAAGGCGAAATAAAAAGATCCCCAAAGAGTCAATATGGATTTTACGGTTGCGCACGCTAGCCAGAGAGGGCTCGAGCAGATGGAGGGGGGACAGTCAGAGATGCGCGCCACTGGGCCCGACACGCAGAACACGTCGCGCCGCGTTGGCTTTTGCAAATCTAGCGGTGATAAATTCGGCAAGGCATGTCAACGTCAGAGGAGCCCGCCGCCCCCCGCCCTCCTCGCCTCACCCCGCCCGGAGCCGTCCGCCTTGTAGCCCGATAGAGGAAACAACGCGGGGAGGGGAATGGATAGTGTTGCCGAGCTAACAAATTGCACGCCAGTTTTGCGTGTTTTTTTCCCCCGCCGCTATTTTTATCCCTTTTGCTTTCACGCAGGGTGTGGTGGTTTTAGTTGACTGAAAAAGGTGCGAAAGTTTGGCGTGGAGGTGTGTGCGTGGCTCGGAGCCTCGAGTCGACGTGTAGGGATATGAAGGAACACATCCTCGCGCAGCTCCCCGGGGGAGCAAAGAGGGAGGGAATAGGGGAGACTTGTCCTGGCCTGGCGTGTATATTGTAGAGCACTTGCTGGGCCCGGCTCCAGGCTCGCGGCGCCCCTCTCTACTATTGTGCCAGCACCCCCACCCCCTCCCCCAACCCCTCTCCCCGTTTCTCTCTCTTTCCAGCCCGCGTACACACTGGCTGCTCTGTCGCCGGGCAAACTTTAAACAAATACTGTGGCCGAAATAATTCCGAGTGACCCTCACCAGAACGCCGCGCTAAAACATGGGGCTTGCCGCCGCCACCGCACCGCACCCCGCCACGCCCCTCCCCCCTTGGCTGATTGATTTATCGAGGGCATCCCGACGCAAAAAGATTTGTTCGCTTTTGGATCGTTTTCTGTGCGTCGTGGTGAACTCCACGCGTACAAGCCGCGACCTTTTTAAGTGTTCGCC